GTTTGACTTATATTAAGTACTTACATAATTTAGCTGTTACAGCTGGCGTGGGTAGAAAACATCAAAGATACTTCAAGAACAAAAATGCAATATTCAAATGATTTAATGAAATGCAAATACAAAGTTCCCCTCAATTTTGAGGAATTTCTCAAAATTGAGAAAATGAAAACAAGAGCTCACTGCTCTTCAGTTCCAACATCAGCGGCGTTCTGCTCCTAACAGCTAGATCCTTTGAAAAACTGCTGGATCCACATAAACACAGTAGCAATGCTAGGTAATCAAATAGGTAAAGACTAAAATGTTGATTTCTTTTTTCCACAGGTGCGTACAGTATTGATTTTACTCAACCAGACTCAAGCATCGTAGAGCCTGGACAATCTCTGGCTATCTAGTTATTCTGTAACTAGCTATGCAACAGCTTGGATTAGATGGCATGAAACAAAACAAATACAGTAGACTATTCTCATGATACGGTCTGGTGGGAGCACTGACAAAAATCATGCTTTAAAAAAAAAGGTTCAGTGTTAGCAGAGACACTTCTGCTGAAACAGTGACAATAACAGGACAGACTCTGCAGCCTGAGGACACAGCTGTTTACTTATTTGATTAATTAATTGATAGATGAGAGATTAAAATAAAATTCTCTCAGAATGGTCAGGTACAAGTGTGGACTGAACATAAACTCTTAAGAAGTATTGCTCAACACCACTTTAAAAAATGACAAGAAACACTGACTACTTTGAAGCAAGATACGATACAAGATATGGTGACATAAGACCTTTGTAAAAAAATAAAAAATAAAAAAATAAACCACAAACACACACAAAGAAAAAACTAATTAAATTTATAACTCAGCGGATTGGGAATTTTCTCTGAAATGTATGAAATGCTATTTGCTGTTGTCACTGAAGATAAACCAGGATTGAACTGAGTGAGAATAGTAGGTGTAAGCAAAACAAATATCTGTACTTTTCTACTCCTTACATTTTCAAAACAGGCTTGTTGCTTTTGGTTTAACACATTTGAGGCGAGGTACTTGTTCCACCTCACTGCAAGCCTTTAAACATCAAGCCGATTTGAGCCTAAACAGTAACACATGAAAAACAATCATGTTCATGTGTTCATCACTTAAGATAAAAAGAGATAAAAGAGGAAAAATTGCATGCAATAGTCAGGGGTTAAAGTG